CTAAAAGTGCTGTAGTGAACATCCTTGTAAGGAAGCCTTTGTGCACAGCCACCGATCTTTCTTCAGAACACCATTAAGGTTCAAGTTGTACCTTCTTGGCACTACCCCCCCCGCCCCGCCCCATCCTGCGCTCTCCCATCTCTCACGGTCTCTGCTAATTAGCTAAAAAGGTTCAAAATAGCATCCTTCCTCCCTCATGGTGGTGCAGAGTCATGTCACATCCCAAGGGGTCTAGTTCCTACAGGTCCTACCTGCACCCACAGAAAGGACGGAGGGCAGGGACTTGGTGTCAGCACTGGGGTGTGGTGTCAACAGCTGGTCTCGGCTGTGGTAGACTCTATAGGACCAGTGGCCGTGGTGGCCGTGGTCCTCCCACAGGGCACTGCAGGGAGTGGCCCTGGTCCTCCCACGGGACACTGCAGGGAGCAGAGAGGATGATCTTGCTGATGAAGACACACAATCGATGCAACATAAAAAGCTTAACTAGATTCTGATTCAAATAGAAAGTTAAAGAACTCAGTACAAGCAAGGAAAATACTGGTTAGATCTTTAATGTTATTTGTAAATTTTATTGGCCGGTATTCCAGGTACCTACTGCTCTGTAAGAAATTACTCCAAAACCCGGTGTAAAACATACTTTATTGTGCTTACAGATTCTGAAGGTAAGGGAGTGAGACGGGATGGTTCATCTGGCACCACAGGGCGGGGCTCCTAGGTCTTCAGCCCGTCTTCGGATTGAGAAGCCACACCCCAGCCTCACCCTCAGCTGGGCCCTGAGCTGCAGCCACAGTGGGATGAGGTTAGGGGGCCCTGTGGGTGGCAAGGGTATTTTCCCGCAGAGGGCTGTGGGTCGCCGGGACACGGCTGAAGAGCCACACACCCTTTGCTTCTCTTCCCATTGGCAGGTGGAGTGTCTGTTATGATGTCACTTCTTTTGTGTTGGGATCTCTGCTCATCTTGTTTGAAACTTACAGGACTTAAGTAGGCTCTGTTCAGACAGGTTAAGTAGTTCAAAGTGGAGTCACAGTGGCCAACATGAGCTTCCATGCTGGTTGTTCTGAAATGTAATGTACACTGTAGGACTGGGAGTGTCCCAAGTGATAAACTGAGAGTGTTGCTTTAGATGAGAAGTTTGACAGGCCGTGTGTGTCACTGGCACAGAAGGAAAAATGGGGAGAGTGAAGCCCCCTCCCCAGGGGAACCGTTATTCCTTAGAAAGATATCACTGAGCTGAGTGAGTTGAAGGCTGTTTGCCGGAGGGCCTGACTCCACGCTGCTGAAAGCTGTTCCGGGGTCTGGATGCTGCCCGACGCCCTGTTGGGGCAGCCAGCAACTCCCCTGTCACAGGGTGGAGCTGTGCTGGGACGCCACCTCCGGGACTCCGCCTTGGAGTGGTCAGTGACCCCCCTTTCCCTACTTGTAGCGGTGACACACCAGGAGACTCCTGAACTGAACACTGGCTGTTGTTTCGTGCATCGCCAATTCCGTGATTCCTACTGGCCCTTCCTGCTGGGCCCAGAGGCTCTGCCCTGGAACCTGGCCTGGCCTGAGTCACGGGCTTGCCCAGCAGAGCCGCAGCATAGTTCTGGTCCTTCCAAGTGGGCTCCCTCGAAGTCACAGAAGATGGGCCTCTTGAAACACTTGCTGTTGGAGACTAGCTGCCAAAACAACCGGGGGGCGTGTGGGAGAGCCTCGGCTGACAACCGTCTTGCCGTCCAGTCTTCAGGAGGCTGCGGCGCGGACCCAGCGGACTACAGCTGCATGGAAACCCTGTGCTCAGCCCACGGGGAGGAGAAGCATAAATCCGGGCTCCAGGCCAGTGTGTCTGGAGAGGTCTGCTAAGCCACAAGGGGCGGCGGGGATAACAGTACCCTGGCTGTTGTTTACCCTGAAAGGATTCCTTTCTTCCAAAATAAATGCATGTTGAAATATTTACAGTGGACATGACATCTGAGGTTTGTTTCAACGTTGCTGTGCGTTGGGAGATGAAGGCATTGATGAAACAAGAGCGACCACGAACTGCTACCTGTTGAAGCCAGGAGATAGGGCCCCTGGGGTTCATAATCCCGGTGCCAGGTGGTGGGCCCCGCCCACTGTACTGGGGAGGATCTGTGACCAGCAGAAGGGATGGCACTTCTGACACTAGGCTGTGAGAGCCACCGTGGCTGCATCCCGAGTACTTGTTGATTCCCTTGCTCGTTTTCTGCTTTTGAGGCCTCACTTCAGGGAAAGCAAGCTGCCCTACTGGGCGCAGCCCTATGGAGAGGCCAGGAGCTGCAGGTGGCAGGGAATCAAGGCCTCCAGCCAACAGCCCTCGAGGAAAAGAGTCTCCTGCCCCCAGCGCGAGCACGAGCTTGGAATTCCAGGAGATCTTCAGAGATCCAGGCCCTGGCTCACAGCTTGACCACAACCTCAGGAGAGGCCCGGAACCAGAACCACCCTGCGGAGCTGCTTCCTGACTCCCACACAAATGTTGATCGTTTTAAGCTAAATTCCTGGTAAGTTTTCACACAGCAGTAGATTACTAATATAACGGTGTTTGGAAATTTTAAAAGAGCCCTACGGTTATCAGAAAGCAGACTTTTCCTCCGCCAGTGACTCAGCAGTGCAGCAGGTCGCGCGGCCCTGGTGGTCTGGTTTTCAGGGACAGGGTGCCTCAGAAGCACACACCCAGCACCAGATGAGAACGCTCTGCCTTGGGCCGACTGAACGTCCTTCACACAGCGCTGACAGTGTGACTCTTAGTCACAGGAAAATCGCATTTATTCCTCAGAAACCGAGACATCTCCCAAAGATACCAAGCTTCAGGACTTCACATTACTTTCTACTGCCTAAAACCTGCAGGCGCGTGTGCTGCTGACGACTGCGGCCTCGACCCGGACTCGCTGAAGGCAGGCCACACAGACGGGTCCTGCCTTCCTGGGGCTGAAGAGCCACCGAAGGGGGCAGGGGCCCGTTTCCGAGTTCTCACAAGGGCTGCGGGTGGAGGTCAGGAGGCGCACCACGCCCAGCATCTGGTGTGCAGCACTTGGGGGCCAGGACCCCACAAGGAGAAAGAGGGGTGGCGGCCAAGTGTCGGCAGCGCGGGCTTCGGCTGGGCCGGCCACGGGGGCCACGAGTCACGAGCCCCTTATGGCGCTACAGAGCGCTCCCGGGTGAGCGTGTGCGAGACGTCCGATATCCGCCAACAGTCGGAGCACGCGGGTGGAGAACCTGCGTGGACGGCGGCATCTCAGCCAGGAGCTCCCAGTGCCGAGACTCCCTGAAGCGGCTGGCGCTCCGGGCAGGGCGGCCGAACGCTGACCGTGTGGAAGGGGAAGGCCCGCGGCGCACGGACTCCGCTCCCGGAAGGGCGCCGTGGGCCGTCACCCGCGGACGACGGAACGTTCGG